GCAATTGTGAAAAGTATGTTGCATTTCAAATCCTTCTTTGTTTTTTCGTAAAAAAAAAAACGTCGTTTATTTTAAGAAAAGTCTTGGTTAAAGTGAATTTAATTACACATTGCGAAAGTTTCTTATTAATTTTGATCTGCCATTCTATTTACCTATATTCACTTTGTTGGTTTCGACAAAACCTCAAACTTTACCGTTATTCGAGGATTTAATTTGAAGTTTTCAATATTTTAAAATTCTCAAGACAAAATTTACAGATTTGACTGACTGTGAAAATAATTCTGTGTCGTTTTATGAGGTTCATTAAAATGCCGAGAAGACGACAACCTCACATAGGTCCACGAAGTCAATAAAATGTACGACGAACTACCTCAGGTGCAAACCGCAATGATTTATTTCATGGGTAATTCGGATATGGAAGTTGATCAGCGTTGTGCTCATAATCAACATAATCAAACATTGAAGCGAGACATTGGGTGGTATGAATAAAACTGAGTAGAAACTAATATTCAAAGTACGAAGTACCTACTTCATTATTACTTTTATATACCTGAGCATCTACTCTATGTACTGAGTACCTACTTGGAAACATTGTATCTCCCCGGACATTGAACATCTACGCGTTTTGTGAGCATTTAATCTCAAAATGAGCATCGGCGTGGCAAATAACTGAGCTGTCTGTTAAGCAGCTTAGAAAACGAGTAGGATCGTTGTAAGAGTGAATTTTGACTAAACATGGTGACTTTCATGAACGTGGAACGTCGTCAAAAGGTGCATTCAGTTTGAAAAACACATTAGGAGCAGGAATATCGAAAACTTTTCAGGTAATTAACTTTTATTTATGCATAAATTGTGCAGTGCATTTTTTATAACACTGGCCATAGAGATTGCCATCTCAAGGTGTCTACCCCATACTAACTTATATTTTGGTGACTCGATTTTTGCTTTGATGGTTGAACACTGTCACTGCTGTCCTTTTTTGTTGTATCGAGATGCTACTTGAGCATCAACTGTTACCTACTGAAGTATTAATATCATCTAGAAAAACTAGAAATATTTTGATTTGATATTCGAGTAGATAGTTCATATTTCGAGTATGAGCATCTACTGAGTTTTATTTATATCAACCATTGTCAAAAAATTGTTCGAACGTTGTTTCGACAGAACTTCCTTCGCACCAAAAGTATAATGAAACATATTCAGCATTTTCGAGTTGAGTCTTTTCTTCACACAATTTTGTGATGACCTAATCAACATTTACGATTAACACGTATACCACCTTGGATTGGTGCAGTGTAATACTAAAAATAACTGTATTGTATTCCCAAAATTATCTGCGAAAATCGAGTGAGCCGTTCCACCAATTTTTTGGGGGCAATAAATAAATATTCTTAACAATTTACCATGCTTACAATAACTTTAAAACGTCTGCAAGATCTCAAAGTATTCATTTTTGCAACTCTTGAGTTATTCACTAAAATAAATTGACTGATCCATATATTTTTTTGAGTCACTGTAAAAGCAAATCTAAAAAATATGAATGCAATGATAAATTACGAAAATATACTGATGATATTTTCCACATTTTAGATTGGATTTATTCGACAAAATCTTGAGATGACGTCTTCAAGTTTTTGGGCTTGATAAACAGATATATTTTGATTGAAAACCTACCATGTCAAACAGTAACTTCAAAACCTCTGCAATATTTCAAAATTCAGTTTTGCAATTCTTGATTCAATCAATAAAATAAATTGACTTAGTGATTAATTTTTTTGAGACACCCCCTATAAGCAAAACTAAAAAATATGAATGGAATGATAAATCACAAGTATAGTCTCATCGTATTTTGGACATTTTAGATAGGATTCATTTGGCAAAATTTTGGGCTGGCGTAATCAATTTGTTGGAGGGGATAAGTAAATATATTTTGAATAAAAATTTATTATGCTTATCATATGTTTAAAACATCTGCAAGATTTCAAAGCATTCGATTTTGCAGATTCAAAACTAAATTGTAGGTGAAACGAAGTTCACGGGGTCAGCTAGTCTCAGATAAAAATTATTTGCTGTTTAAATATTTCACGAGAGTCAATGACGAATTCAAATGTTGTTTATTTCTCTTTTTGAAACTTAACACTTGTTCAGTTGTGGTTTAATAATAGGGTTATAAGAATTGAATATTTAAATGGAATTGAGGTTAAATAACAAAAAAAAACACGTGGCTGAAGCAGAGTGCGCGGTTCCTTGTTGAGCTGGCCGTCGCGCCATCTGCACAAAAGATGCAGACCTAGAATAGAGTCAGGGGCGGTCGGGATGACATGACGCTGACGGCTTTTGTCCATAGCCGGGGCCCAATCACTAGTTTGCGACCGTAACGGCCTGCTCGTACGGCGAGCCGTAGGCGAGATCTGTATGTTTGACAATGCCATAAAAGTGCTACCGGTCGTATATTGTATAACATTTTTTAGGATACTGCAACAATTTCAAAAATTCATGAAAACAATAATTTTATCCGATTCGTCGCGTCGATTCAAGTGGCGCATAAAGTGAAAATCATCACATATGTGCTGGTTTGTTGCTAAGATGAAGGCAGTAAACAATAAAATTTCGTGAATTTAATTTTCCATTAAAATGGATTTGTCCCAAAATTTTGAAGAAAGTAAACAGCGCTAGATCGAATATTCTGCCAGGAAAATCTTCGGGAACATCTTGTTACGTTGATTAGTGAATAAAATCGCTGGACTCGACTCCGCTGAATAATCCTCGTTCCCGACGGTGGCCTCTTTTTAAAGCCATATATTCCTCTGGATACATCGCGAACGCCGCTTCGAGGTTTTTCTGGACGCCGCAATCGAGACTTCCGGTAACCCGCTCCAGGCTGGTCTTTATACGAACATCACCCATCATCGTCGCATATACTAGAAATGCCTCGCTAAACCCATAGGCGTCATACCGGGACGACATATAGGTTTACACGGAGGATGGTAATCTTCTTCCGTTGCACGCAGTTACTTAGAAGATTCCACCATACGCAAAAGAAATATTGCGGAGAAAATTTTGGGTTCATCTAACGGAAATGAATCTGTTGCAATTACCGAGTTATCTTCTGTATGTCATGCAAGCCCCAAGAAAGATCAACGGGGTAACGAAATTAATTTGTTACCAGCGAATATTTGTTTCAGTCATATTAGTAATTTTACTTTTAATATTTATGTAAATAAGTGAAATGTTTTGTTCAGATAATAAATTGGGTATACTACTGGCTTAAAGGCTGGTAAATTTTAGTTACCGGACTCGTTTGTAACTATGTAATCATTAGTTATTAAAGCAGTATCCTAAAAATACTATTATGGCGGATTTATAAACATAGCTTTTGTCGATCGATTGACAAACATGTTTCTGGATTACTCTTTTTTACTTCCCGAGCGTAAGCAAAGCAAGTATTGTAATCGAATCCGTCGGTCGACTCTCTACTTTTGCATTTTCTCGACCTATCATGACTCCTAGAGGACAAAGAAATAGGTCTCCCGCTTCCGTCTGTCGGTCCGTCTGTCTGCCGTCCCGTATTTCTATTAGACAGATAATCTCCGACAGTACTGGGCCGATTGTTGTCAAATTTTGTATTTATATTAGGAATATCATGTAGATGGTAAAACGCTAACCAAAAATTGTATAATGTAACATAGTCCTACACATGTAGTTTATGACTCCGAATTGAGTTTTTACCCGAAACGTCCAGATTTTTGGAAAAAAAAATCAAAATTAGGAAACAACATTTTGATATTTAATTCGGAATCTACAAAACCGAATGCTTTGAAATCTTGCAGATGGTTTACAGTTATGATAAGCATGATAAAATTTTAATCACAATATGTTTATTTATCCCCTAGCAGTATACAGTACAGGTCAAAATTTTATAAATAGAGCAAGTGATTTTTATTAGGCAGATGAGTATGTACTTGAGATTTATCATCTCAATCATATTTTGTAGATTTGCATATACAGGGTGATTAAAAAAAATCAATGAATGCGTGAATGTATTTAATTGATTTTTATCAAAATGTATATGCTCATCCCACCTAAAAAACTGATGACGCCACCCCAAAATCCTATCTTAAATGTATAAAATCTGATGATATACTTGTGATTTATCACTGCATTAAAATTTTTTATTTAGATTTTTTATTAGATCTGCTTATACGGGGTGTCTAAAAAAATTAATGACTGAGTCAATTTATTTAGAGCAATTTTTCGTACCTAACAGTTATTTTTTTTTCCTGGGGATAATCGGATTGTTTACCAACTATTTACAATCTTGCTAAATTTTGATAACTGTAGAATTTGGGGAGGGTAACCTTACCTCTTTTGGACCTTATTTTATGACGAATTAATTGACTAGTCATTTGTATCTGAACATAAGTTATCAAAAAGTCGAAAATTGCAAATTTTATTTGTTTATTAAGTAATGTTAATTGAATGTACATTTTCAACATTGTGTAATGAATGAAAGGGTACGGAAGCATAAAATAAACGAATTAACTCTGCATTTATAAACCATAACTATATTTTGCACACTTTAGACACGATTTATTCAGCAAAATTTTGAGATCATGTCATCAATTTTTGGAGGATTTAAACAGATAAATAAGTGAGATCTTTTTTTACAATAAATTTGTCATAACAAATATTTTGTGTTATGATTATCAAATCAAGAACATTTTTAGGTCAGTTTGTTTGGAAGTGAAACGTGTGTTTACTAAATATAGTTCATTATAAATCAAGTTAAATTATGACCAGAATTTAGTACAAGTTTTTATTCCACAGTTGACATAATTATTAATTTTCTACTCAAACGATCACTACAATCATAAAATAAAACTACGTTTTTAGTTTATTTACAAAATTTATTTACACATTTGGAACAGTTGATTTCTGTTAATGATCATTGAATAATAAATAAATTATGGAATTATGGTAAGGATTGTAAAATTTGTTGCCTAAATCTGGTGATTGACTGGAAGTAAACATTCTGTTAAATGACTTTGTAATAATGCTTGAGCAGGCAGGAAGTTGAGCACTTGGGGAACTGGACTAGATCTAGGCGAACTCGGCGTGGTAGAACTTTGTACAACTTCTGAACCAGCGCGATTTATATGGTGCATTTTTTCTCGTCTTTCTCTTGCTCTTCTATTTTGAAACCAAATTTTTACCTACAATGACATGTTGATATTACGGTTCAAATAAACTTTAGCACCAACTTACTCTAATATCAGCTAGTTGAAGTCGCCTAGCTAGTAAAATAACCTCTTCGCTACTGAGATACGGACTTTGCTGAAATTTTTCTTCCAAAACTGAAAGTTGATGACTAGTGAAGGGAATACGCGGATGACGTCCAAGTTGCCGTTTTTGGGGACCGCACCTCTTCAGGGTTCCTATTTCAGGTACAAATTATTACTACATTTTATGGTGATTCCAAAAGAACTTACGTGGAATTTTCGGTGGACAGTATCTGGTGCAGTTTAGCCAAGTGTACGCGTCCAGTGATAAACTAGCACTTGTAGAACTTTCACTAACAATTAAATTAGTATCACTACTCGAACAACTATTTCCTGCTCTGTTTAAAATATGTTCTATACTAAAATCGGAACTGTGTGATGCAGCATCGTTAGCACTTTTATTTATTTCTTTTTGAGCGGTCATTGTTAATACAAAAACAAAACGTTTTATCACGTGTATACAAAAGGTAATACATTTATCCACTTTTAACAACCACTGTTTACAAACCAGTTAGTTACCCTTATTTTATACTTCCCCACTCTTTTCAGTGGATGCATTTGGGCAGATCCCATCTTTGGGTAATTATGCGTAAAATAGTAGCCTATCTAACATCAGTAGCTTACTGGTTGTCGAAGGGACAAAGGACGGCCTGTTACATCTTTTTAACCAATGAAGTTCTTCGAATTTCAGCGTGTTCATAAATAATATTGAATTGAAAATTTGTCATATTACGCCTTAATTCCCTTTTTCGTTAAAATATCAATACATTTTATTTAAACATACGTACTTTGATAGAGTGCACACATTAAATGATAAAAGTGCTTCAACAAGTCAAATTAAAGAGAAATTATTTTTTATTTGCTTCAAAGAATGAGTTCTATAAAGCTCTGAATAACCAACTCGAACAAATTACATCGAAATATTATAAAATTATGCTTGAAATATACAAATTTTGTCTGGTTAAAATTCTTCATGGTGTATGAGAATTAGTTTGTTCTTTTTTTGCATTAATATATAATATTTTTATAATTTTTGTGTATATAAGACTTGCAATATGTTGATATTTGAAAAATCCCTAAAATTTGAACTATTTTTTCTTTTTGGAAATTACTTATCTTGTTTATAACGTTGAAAGAGATTTTTTTTATTTTTATTTGTTTCACTACTAAATTGTACATACATAATAACATTAATAATATGTACAATTTTTCACTTCCCAAGCTTAAGCGACTAGCTACTTCGACGTTTACGAATAAATGGGTTACCCGTTACCGTCTGTCTGTCTGTCGGTGTCGTTTTTTATTAAACAGAAAAAAAATCAGCCGTAAATCTCCAAGGTCCAAAAAACATCATCTCTATTAAAAAAATGTTTATTATTATTTTTTATCGGTATCAACAAAATGATTATTACCGAATAGATCAGGTGATCAGGTGATCAGGAACTTTGTAAAGAAACTCAATATCTAAAATCTCTGACTAGAGTGACGTGCGTTCGAACGGAAGATAAATCCATCACGGGCGATTATACGGAAGCCAAAAACTTGTGGTTTCATTATGCTGCTCAAGCAATCGTAATTAATTCGTTATTACAGGAGCATTAGGACGAGCCTGGTGGTCTGATTCTCATGTAAACCTAATACTCCGTTGTATTATTTAGAGCTACCACCTGATTTAAATATTCATTTAGTCTGTAACTGATACCCTTGAACAGAAGCAGCCGAGCGGTAGCTGTCGATTGTGAGTGAATTGGTTGCTACCCGTCGTTGCTTAGGTACATACATCACATCGGTATCATACATACTGTAGAAATCATTACATACAATATAAATATATGCAGTTTATTTTGTCGTTATGTGTCTATGATAGTTCAGCAACATTTTTAGGCGACAATTTCAAGACAATTCGTTTTTTGCACTTAACGCTAGTAGGTCATGATTGTAGCCTAAGTAATTGCTTTTTTCCACTTTTTAATAACACCGTTTTAAGTTTGTCACGGTGAAGACCTTGCAAATTATATCATTAAGAATAGTGATTGTTGCATTAGTGTTAACAATAAGCTTAAAATGTTGTTTATTGACAAAATGTGTAAAACACAAGTATCATACATTTTTTGTATAAGAATTTTCTCTTGTTTGAATTGTTGCTTCTGTAATTGTACTTATAGTAAAATAAGAAAAAAGGGTTTATCAAAAAAGTAATTAACTTTTATTATCTAAATGCGGATGGGTTTCCAAATGGGATTAATGATTTGGTTTTAAATGTTAACTGTTGCGTTTATGGCATTATTATCATTACTGAGATTTGGTTGTGTGATAAAATGTCAAATGAAGAATTATTGTTGAGGAATTATAATATTCAAATTTCGGCCAAATTTTGACATTTTCGAAACTTAACGAAATATATTTCCTTGTACATTTCGAGTTCCAGAAGTCACTTCCGGCCTGGTTTTTTCGATAACTGCAACCGTTTTTCCAGAATCGACCGTCGAAATATCGAAATTTTTAGAAATTTTCAAAAATTCTCATTTCATACTGATTCTAGCGAATATTTTGCTCCGTGACCATAAACATTCTATATTTTTGGAATCAGGAAATCGAGATCTACATCCCTGATATTTTTCAGAATTTTTAGACAACTTTTTTTTAGTGAAATTTTTCCAGTGGACCACCTTCTTCAAATTTCAGCCAAATTTTGATATTTTCGAAACTTAACTAAATACATTTTCTTGTACATTTCGTGTTCCAGTACTCACTTCCGGCCTCGTTTCTTTGATAACTGAAACCGTTTTCTCAGAATCGACCGTCGAAATATTGTAATTTTTAAAAATTTAAAAAAATTCGCGTTTCATACCGATTCCAGCGAATATTTTGCTCCGTGACCATAAACATTCTATATTTTTGGAATCAGCAAATCGAGATCTACAGGCCTGAATTTTTTCACATTTTTTAGACAACTTTTTTTTAGTGAAATTTTTCCAATGGTCAAATTTTGACATTTTCGGAACTTGACTAAATACATTTTCTTGTACATTTCGAGTTCTAGAACTCACTTCAGGCCTCGTTTCTTTGATCACTGCAACTGTTTTCCCAAAATCGACCGTTGAAACATCGAAATTTTTAGAAATTATCAAAAATTCTCATTTCATACCGATTCTAGGGAATATTTTGCTCCGTGACCATAAACATTCTTGTATATTTTTGGAATCAGCAAATCGAGATCTACATCCCTGAATTTTTCCAGAATTTTTAGACAACTTTTCTTTTAGTGAAATTTTTCCAATGGTCCCCCCTTCTTCAAATTTCCGCCAAATTTTGACATTTTCGAAACTTAGCTAAATGCATTTTCTTGTACATTTCGAGTTCTAGAACTCACTTTAGGCTTCGTTTCTTTGATCAATGCAACCGTTTTCCCAAAATCGACCGATGAAATATCGAAAATTGTAAAAATTTTGAAAAATTCGCATTTCATACCGATTCTAACGAATACTTTGCCCCGGGAGCATGAATATTTCACATTTTTGGAATCAGCAAATCGAGATCTACATCCCTGGGTTTTTTCACAATTTTTAGAGAACTTTTTTTTTTAGTGAAATTTTTCCAATGGTCCCCCCTTGTTCAAATTTCGGCCAAATTTTGACATTTTCAAAAATTAACTAAATACATTTCCTTGTACATTTCGAGTTCTAGAATTCACTTCCCGCATCATTTCTTTGATAAGTGCAATCGTTTTTCCAGAATAGACCGTTGAAATATCGTAATTTTTAGAAAATTTCAAAAATTCTCATTTCATACCGATTCTAGCGAATATTTTGCTCCGGCAGCATAAACATTCTATATTTTTGGAATTAGCAAATCGAGATCTACAGGCCTGAATTTTTTCACATTTTTTAGACAACTTTTTTTTTAGTGAAATTTTTCCAATGGTCAAATTTTGACATTTTCGGAACTTGACTAAATATCTTTTCTTGTACATTTCGAGTTCTAGAATTCACTTCCCGCATCATTTCTTTGATAAGTGCAATCATTTTCCCAAAATCGACCGTCGAAATATCGAAATGTTTAGAAATTTTCAAAAATTCGCATTTCATACCGATTCTAGCGAATATTTTGCTCCTTGACCATAAACATTCTAGATTTTTGGAATCAGCAAATCGAGATCTACATCCCTCAATTTTCTCAGAATTTTTAGACAACTTTTTTTTTAGTGAAATTTTTCCAATGGTCCCCCCTTCTTCAAATTTCGGCCAAATTTTGACATTTTCGAAACTTAACTAAATACATTTTCTTGTACATTTCGAGTTCCAGAAGTCACTTCCGGCCTCCTTTCTTTGATAACTGCAACCGTTTTCCCAGAATCGACAGTTGAAATATCGAAATTTGTAGAAATTTTGAAAAATTCGCATTTCATACCGATTCTAGCGAATATTTTGCCCCGGCAGCATAAATATTCTAGATTTTTGGAATCAGCAAATCGAGATCTACATCCCTGAATTTTTTCAGAATTTTTAGACAACCTTTTTTTAGTGAAATTTTTCCAATGGTCCCCCCTTCTTCAAATTTCCGCCAAATTTTGACATTTTCGAAACTTCTAAATGCATTTTCTTGTACATTTCGAGTTCTGGAACTCACTTTAGGCCTCGTTTCTTTGATCAATGCAACCGTTTTCCCAAAATCGACCGTTGAAATATCAAAATTTGTAAAAATTTTGAAAAATTCGCATTTCATACCGATTCTAACGAATACTTTGCCCCGGGAGCATAAATATTTCACATTTTTGGAATCAGCAAATCGAGATCTACATCCCTGAATTTTTTCAGAATTTTTAGACAACTTTTTTTTTAGTGAAATTTTTCCAATGGTCCCCTCTTCTTCAAATTTCCGCCAAATTTTGACATTTTCGAAACTTCTAAATGCATTTTCTTGTACATTTCGAGTTCTAGAACTCACTTTAGGCCTCGTTTCTTTTATAACTGCAACCGTTTTCCCAAAATCGACCGTTGAATTATCGAAATTTGTAAAAATTTTGAAAAATTCGCATTTCATACCGATTCTAAGGAATACTTTGCCCCGGGAGCATAAATATTTCACATTTTTGGAATCAGCAAATCGAGATCTACATCCCTGAGTTTTTTCACAATTTTTAGAGCACTTTTTTTTTAGTGAAATTTTTCCAATGGTCCCTTGTTCAAATTTCGGCCAAATTTTGACATTTTCGAAAATTAACTAAATACATTTTCTTGTACATTTCGAGTTCTAGAACTCACTTCCGCCATCATTTCTTTGATAAGTGCAATCGTTTTTCCAGAATAGACCGTTGAAATATCGTAATTTTTAGAAATTTTCAAAAATTCTCATTTCATACCGATTCTAGCCAATATTTTGCTCCGGCAGCACAAACATTCTATATTTTTGGAATCAGCAAAT